TTCGTGGTGCGGATTTAGGTGTCATGAATTTGATGGGCTTCCTTTGAAGGCCATGTGGTGAAGAGCCTGCATGCTAAAAAGGGGCTCGGCAGATGGTGAAATCTGCTTGTCATTCCTGGCTGTTGTAGTAAGTATTTCAGCGAGGTGCCTGTTTTTCGCGCATTCGTTCGAAGCCCATTCGATGCTTGTTTTACTCATCTTGCGGCAGTCGGACGGACATCCGCAGGCACAGAAATTCCAGCACTCCCAAAAGCCTCATGAAAACAAAGACGGACGGGCGCCCATGTTGTTTGAGTTTTTTTCCCTTTTTCTGTGTGGGCCCTTGCCCTATGAGAGAAGCCCAAATGGCCCATAGGTTCTTCACTTGGGTTCTGAACCGGCACCACTCTACAGAGACTTAAGCAGTGGAGCTTCTCGAGTTGTCTGTAATTTGGGTGTGTCCGTATGGGTGAGTCTTTTTGAAGGGAGACCGAAATGAAAACCACAATTTTGGACGTCCCCTCAAAAAATCACACGAGCCACAATGAAAAACTGGGTAGATGAAGCTTAGTAAAGGGCAGTCCCAGCCATAAATAGTTGCGGCCGCCTTCTTAATTCCTTACATGGTTCTGGGACCATTTTAATACCGGGTTTTGATTGTGACTCAGGACACCCATATTGACATGGAAACGCATACGTGCCAGGGTCTCAGTCAAGCAGCCAAGGATACACTGGGCGAAACAAAGCCCGGGAGTGAGACGATCGCCATAAAAAGTTAGAGCCTTTGGCATGCCGTGAGTCGATTCAAGTGGGTGACATCCGGACAGGATGCGAGTCCTCACGGTTTCTGAGCTTGCTGGTATATTTCCCCAGTTGTTTTTTCATTTAGTTGCCGCGCTTGTTCTGTTCATGTGTGACATGAAGCCAATATTGCGAAGCTAATATCTGATGGATTGCTGCAAGGGCACGGCGGTGGGGATGGTGCCGGTAATATTTACGGCCTTTGGACACTTGCTCGACCTCTGAACATTGGTTTAAAAGGGAATCCCCACAAAAACATGTTTTCCTGTCTTTCTGTAGGGGTGCCCTTTTCACCACAAAAGGAACATCATTTTGGGGGGTCCAAATTCCAAAAGACGATCCATTGGATTCACTTGGCACTGGGTGACAAGGCCAGCTGGTAGTACTTGGCTCACAGTTAGTGCCTTGGGATGGAGCCAAGCTCGGCCCGTCTTCAAGGCATGCAGATGGGTCTCCGGTCGCGTCTCATGCCCAGATTGTGCATTTTCATTGCTCCAGGGCGCATGACCGCTAGAAAACAATTCAAAATATCGCTCTTTCAAGATGCGCACTAGGTGCTCGTTTAAGCTCTTTTGTTGAGAAGTGACCCCGGGTCCAATAGTATCAAACAGGTTCTTTGTGTCTTGAGTCTTTGGATGTGCGCCAGGCTGCAAGCTGGTGTGATGGGCAATTGCCTTTGTGTGCATGCTGAGCAGGCGCCGGGCTTCCGATAGTTTGAGGGTCAATTGGTCGGATGGTGTTTTCTTGAAAGGGGCTCAGTGGGACCTTGACTGTCTCAAGGTCCTCAAGACACAATTGTAGCAGAGCATCATTTGTTCTGTCACCTTTCCTCTTGCCAGTCCGAGCCTTTTTGAGCCTTGTGCCAACCAAGTTGTATTGACAATTTTAATATTGGTACCTCTCAGTTTATGGTTTGGTTTGGATCGGTTTCGGGGTCACCCTTTTGAAGCCATTCGCCAAGCGGGTTTTTGGCACTGCGCCAGCCCTTGCGAGTCTGAGGCGGACCAGCACCAGCAGGATGTAGAGCCGTTCCCGGGTCCCGGTCGGCAAGGAGCGGCTTCGAACCGAGAGACCTCTCGAGGTGGCGCTCTGGTTTTCTGGTGTCCAGGTGGGTTTCGGAGCCCAAGAATGGCGTCCGTGGTTTCGTTTCGGTTTCCCTTTGCTTCAACCTGACAAGCGGTTTTTAGCAAAAGACGAGCAGCCAAGTTGCGTTTGAACCCCCCTTCCAGATCTTGGCATGTGAGAGGCTATTTGTGTTTAGGAAGACACATTACAATTACAAGTACTGATATAGAGGTGGTTTGGATTCAGGCGAGAAGCAGTGTTTTGTTGTGGAGAAAGTGTTTTGCTTGCAGTCGCGAGAGTGCGCGAGATGTGACTACGAGTCAGCTCAAGGTAGCTGAGGCGCGTAAGCAACTTCAGCAGTGATATGTCCCGGCATGTGAGCGATCATTTGCATAATTATCACGACCTCAGCTGCAAACAGTCCGGCCACGATGACCTGTTCCATCAGGAGATTAAACAGACAGCGCAAGTGCTGGTTTGCAAGCATGCACCATGTCGAAGACACCTCTAGCTCTTCCAACACATTCACATATTCAAGCCTGGCAACTGGGGGGCACCTTTGTGGAATATAACAGAGGGGTGCAAGAAGCAGAAGTTATGTCAATCGATGGATCGGCATGTGTCAGGCTCTTCTTGCCAAAAGCCAGCTGATGTCGCGCAATGTCGATCCCTGGAAGTGAGGTGGACTTCACAGGCTCGCGAGTGATGTGAAGGGTGCTGGCGGACTTGTGGAAAAACCTATATAGGCCACTGCTTTTCGGCCGCTCCAAGTTCGGGACCCAGGGAACTGCATAGTTTTGTCTCGTTTTTCAGAAACAGATGGGAGGGGTACCTTTTTGAGCCACAGCCTTTTGGGTCTAAGCTTTTTCATATTTTTGAGCAGCAGTTTGGGGACATCAGTTTCTGCGGCACCAGGCTTCTTTCACGCGACCATCGCGCACCTTGCATGCCGGCCCGATTGCAGCAGCCCAACATGGCAAGTGCAGCAGGAGCGAATGGAAGGGACTTGAGTCACTAGCTTTGCTCGGAAGGGACAGTTTCTTCACAAGCTCTGTTCCGCAAGTCTGCAGCTGATGTGGCACTGCAAACGATTAAATGATGTTAAATCACATTTTTTCGGCCAGGGATTCCTCATTAGAATTTCAACAAATCACGTGCATTGCAAAGTGCAGGGAGGGGAGCGAGGACCCCGCGGTGCAAGCGACCTGGGCTGCGCTGATGCTTCCAAGGTCGAAGATGGATGAGGTGCCTAGATGGCAACAGCCCAAAACCTTTGGCTTGGATTCGAATCCGGCCGGCCCCTTGACAAATGGGTGGCTCGGTTCCTCCGAGGCGAAGAGGGAAACCAAAGGAATCTCGCTATTTTGGCGGGCCCAAATCCTAAAAATGACACGCGCATGTTCACAAGGGAAGCTCCCTGAGGTTCTGGCTGCCCGGCCCGACCTTTTTGCCCGCTCCGGCAAAGCCGTGAAGCTGCAGGCCGAAAGTTGCTGGCGGGTTTTGCTTGTGTGACGTGCTGGTGTAATGGGGAACCCTTCCTCGCTGCCTTTGCGCATACACTAAAACTAGCCCAAAACGAGCATTGCCCCAAAGCGACAAAACTAGCCCACAACTCACCTAACGCAACCCGAAAGCCGCTGCTAAACTACACACCTAACGCAAATCAGCTCCACCCAAAGTGAACCCTAGCCTGCCCAACTTCAGCCTGGATGTCAACCCTTCGCTTCACCTAAATCAACCCCAAACCACCCCAAGACCCGCCCTCATGAAGATCTAAGCCAGCCTAACCTCCCTACATTAAATCAGCCCCGAGCAACTCCCAACTGCTATGCAATCAGAGCCAACATGCAAGTCCAGGTTTAAGTGGGGCTGGTGATGCTGGGGATTCTGCCAGCCCTGCGGCAACCAGCCCTAGAAATAAGACTAGCCTGGGAAAACCAGCAGCGCAGTCATGGGTCCGAGACGCGAGGCTCTTGGCCTCTCCTGCCTGCCGCTCTGGCCTCGGGGCTGTTGATTTTGAGTCCTGAGAGTTGCCAGAATGTTGGGTTGGGATTCCCCGAATTGAGAGAGCCTTCCAAATCTGCCGGGCACCTCGATGGGACGCCTGGATTGGGGGGGAGAGGGCAAGCTGCCATGCCGTTTTTTAGGTGGCCGGTCGTTCATTTTGGACCATCCACCCAGCCCCCAGTGCCACTGGTCGATTCTTGTTTTGGGACCTCCACGTCCTGAGGCCGACTCCCATTCCGCCGATCGGAACAGCCGCTCCCACGCCCCTGGTGCCAAACAAGGCGCCGGGAAGCCGATGATCGGCATGGACAGACCGTGACCTTTTTCTCAAGGGTGACGTGGCATGCGCACAGAAGCCTCACTCCCTGAGTTTCTGAAGCGGCAAATCAAGAGTTTGAGATCTGTTTGGGCAATCCACTCGGAAAGAGAGTCATAGACAAACGCTTTTGAGTAGAAAGATGGAGACTGAGAAGGGACACCAAATGTAGCCCCCATGTTGCATGGAGGCCACCCAGAGTTTACCAACAACCAGACAAAGCCTTGGCTGTCTCGGCACATGAGGTTCCGTCAAATTGTCCAGTCTATGGTCCGTTTGGGCAGGAACATGGGCCGAGTCTCCACACTCCAATTTATCCACGTTGGGGGTTGGGGGTTGTGTCTTCAATTAATTGAGGGTTCCCTTTTTTGGGTTGCTCGCTTGCTGAAGGTAACCAAAAGGAAAACATTTTGACCACACATCTGCCCAGGGCCCAGCGCCAAAGTGGGCAGGCACGAGGGGTGCCTCTGGCAGCTGAGTTGAGGTCGTGATGTTCATGGTCATTTGACCCAAACCACTCCCCCCTTGTTCAAACGGGATAGAAAGCCCATTGCATCGTGGCTACATAGTCGGTTTTCCAAAACCGGGTGGGTGGGGGGGGGTGGGGGGTTGGTTTGTGGAAGCTGTTTGAGAGCCTCCGGAACTTGTCTGCGCGTCCCGGTGCCTACGGTCAGGTCCCTGGGCGACAAGGGCTGGCTACACCAAGCCATCGGCCCCTGTCTCAATGGTCGAGTCTGAAGCTAAACCTGGGTAGATCACGGGTAGGGGACACTCGACCCTCTTGATATCGTGCATGTTTTGTGGGGTCAAGCTTTCCTGGTTACCCTGAAGATATTCCGATTTCATTTTTTCCATTAATACATGTATGATAATCCGGCCGTTTATCCCTCCATCTTTTGGCGCATCATCCCCTTGGCTCCACTTGGGGTCCTTTGCAGCCGAGGGACCGGAGTTGCCTCGCCAGCCGCTCTTCGGAGGGGAGGCGTTGCAGGGGGACGTGCTCGAGTGGAAGGCGGGCTTCGGAAGCCTCAAGCCGAGTCACGCGAACAATCTGCGGTGGCCGGGGGCTCGGGTTCATTTGGGTACCGACGACGGCTTCAAGTCCCAAACAAATCCAAACGCAAATCCAATCCCAAACAAAACCACGATGGGTTTGGAGGCACCCCGTATCATAGGGGGCGGGTTGTTCGGAGGAGGGTTATTTGCGGGCTGGGGGCGGGTTGTTGGGTTGCGAGTACACGGGACAACCAGAGCGGCGGGAGGGGGCATCGCTGTTCGCACCAGGAAGTGCCCTGATTTCCAAACTGTACGACACAGGAACCAAGTTGCATTCGTTCTCCTAACTTTCTTGATCTTGCCCTTTCGCTGATTTGCTTGGCTAGTCCTACAATGCCACGCCACCAAAAGCCTCCCTTGACTTTCGGTAGTAGTCTCTGGCTGGTCTGGCCCTGCTGAGAGCTAGGTCAACTCCCCAAGACGGATACACATCAACCATGCAACATGCTAGCTCCCATAGCATAATCTATGTTTTGCCATAGGTGGAAAACAATGTATAATTTCCAGCAGTGATATCCACCAATTAAAATGCATAGCCACCAAGCATTTTTTCTTTGTTTCTTTTTCTTTTGCCGAATTGGACAGGGCAAGTTCGGCTGGATCAATCCGTTGCAGCCCATCGACCATCCCAAGGCTGTGGCTGCCTCAGGTTTCCGGACGCCCCAACATGGTGGGAACCGATTTACCACCATTCGCGGTTTGGGGATGACACTAGGCACGCTCACCCAAAATACCACTATGGAGGTTACTCACCAAAATCCAGTGCCATTGGGGTCTTCAAGCCCATGGGTGAAGGCTTCCATTGGACTAGAGGGTGAGACCATCAAGCTTCGCACCCATGTTGGTTGAACCAAACGGGTCCAAAGTTTGTGCGCTACACCTTGTTGCCTGGAACTGGTTATCAGTGGCGTGGGCGAATTGAGTTGCAAGGCTTTCAGTCGTGCCAGTTTTGTTGAGCTTGTTGGCTTTGCCTGCACTACTTAGTCCCGGCACAACTCCAGAGTCTATGTGCACGTGAAGGAAGCTGTGCGCGACTGTGACGCTGAGAAGCTCTTGCAGTTCAAGGGTTGTTCTGCTCAGCTCTTCGAACACTTGTGGTTTCTTGAAGGGCTGACCTCCCAGAGCGAGGTTACTGTTCAAGGGGAATGAGCCCTCCGTAGGACCTGGCGGATGGATTGCAATCATTGAGCCCTGGTCAGAGGGTCGCCTTTCAGGCCAGGCCGCGTGATCCGCAGCGAGCTTTTTATCAAGCGCCGAATTGCGCCGCGTAGAGGCCTACACTGATGACAGCGGTATTGGTGCGGAGGCCGATGTTCGATTTTCGGTGAAGTGTCGAGGCTTAACAGACAACTGGGAATGTGCAGGGAGGCACCATGTCCAGTAGCACTGCGAGCCCCCGCCAAGACAAATGTGCTCCCGGGAAACTCTTAAGGGTTCACATTGATTATCAATTTGACACCAGAAATACAGTCTCTCTTTTTAGGGAAGCCCTTTTGGGGCTAAGGGAACTTAAAGAAAACACCAGCCACTGGGCCACTGGGTTTCCGGTTTATTTTTTACAGCTCCAATTCTCCGCAGGCGGTCTATATTTCGGAGACCGAGCCACAAGTTCCGCGTGAGTAGGGGACAGTGCGGCGGAAAGGGTGGATGCGGACAAAGGTGTGCAGTGCTCAACGCGGCCCATGGCTTCCATGTTGTGCCCTGTGTGGGTTCGGTTTGGAGGGAAGCCAGAAGGAAAGCCGTTGCGCAAGTTGCTCTGTTTGAACGTTTTGGTTCAAAAAGGGCGGGAAACCAAGAGGAACGAAGCTAAAGGATGCTAAAGGCTTTTTGGCCGACGCTCCGATTCCAAGTTTTGAGTCAGCTTTGCTTCAGCCCGGCGCGAGGAGGAATGTCGAAAGGCACTAAGTCCTCCAATGCGCATCTTGGCTGAACCCGACTCTGCACTTTCGAGAGCGTCTCCTCACTTTTCCAGGCCAGTGGAAAGCTCAGAGGACGGCGGTGACATTTGCCACGCCTGTCCACTAGCATGGAACCCACCAGTAGTATCCCCGTAAAAGGAAAGTAGTCAATGAAACATCAGGTTCCATCTTAGTGGACCAGAAAGTAGTTAGCGAGGCATAGGACCACCAACTCACGTTTCTTTTTCGCTTCATGAGTCAGGTTTTGCAAGTCCAGCGAGCGGTTGCGCAAATGCCAACATGTGGTCATGTTGGCACCGCAGGAGCGTGTCGAACACCCTCTTGTCGTCCTTGAGCCTCTTGTCTACAGTGCTTGCTGTGAGGAGTCCTGTAAGGACATACTAGTTCAGCAGCTTTTTTCCTGCAATGCATGAGCTGAGTGAGGAATGGCAACAAATATACCGGCCAGTGGAAGGGCGGCCAGCGGGATGGTCACGGAGTTCAGGACGATCGGAACTTGCAACTGGACAACGTGCATGTGCTCTCGTCTTTTTTGGGGACCCGGGTTTTTGGTTTTGAAGGAGAGCACCACTCGGTTTGGGAGGGGTCAGTCCCAAAGACGAGCGAGCCCATGAGCTTGCGCCAGCTTCCAGCGCAGGAGTGGCCGGACGGAGCCCGGTTCGAAGGCCTCGGCTCGGTCCCCTGGCGAGCGAGCGGCGGGCGGCGGGACGCGCTTCGCCAGGTCAATGGCGGAATGGCCTCGCCGAGGGCTACGGCAAGTTCATCCACGCGGATGGCGGCCGCCCAGGATTTATCACTTCGGAACATGAGTTGGGTTATCCACATGGCAAATGGCTCGTGCCGCCTGCGGCTTTGGATGGAGTAACAGAAAGGAGGGCAATCGCCACGCCTTGCGAAGCATTGCACAGCCATTAAGGAAACAGTCCATGTGCATGTAGCTGCAAGCATTCTTAGGCGATGTCTATGAGGGGCAGTGGAAGGATGACAAAGCCAACGGTCAGGGTGCGTGCCTCATTGTTTGATGCCTTTCTCGGGGCAGGTACGCGTCACGCTTCTTGCAACATGTGCGGCGTCATTGCTTTTTTTCCTTTGGTCACGCAGTCCTGCTTATGGGACTTGAATTTGGCGCTACTGCAAGCCCTGCTGCCTGGGGTTTCGGCAGCATCCCTGGCGAAGTCGTCATCCAGTTCTGGCTTTGGGACGGGTTAGTCAGTGGAGTTACACATTTGCCTAGGATTTCATGCATTTTTTTTGTACGTTTCATCGTTTGTGGGTCGAGGAGCTGGATGGTCAATCAAGCAGCAGTTTGTCAGTCAGTCAGCCAGGCAGTCCGTTAGGCAAGCAGCAGGCAGCCATGCAGTCAGTCAGCCAGTTAGCCAGCAGTCAACCAGGCAATCAGTCAGTTATGTTTCAGCCACAGACAGAGGCAGTACTTTTGCAGATGGTAACACATTCACAGTATGCAAGAGAAGCTGCTGCTGTTGTCAGTGTGGTGCGCGATGGGTGCACAAGACATCGCTAAGGAACAAGCCCTCTCACAACATGCCCCCGTTTGTGCGCAGAATTTCTAGCATTGGTTTCTTTACCTTGTAAGTGGCCGCGCCTTTGAGGGCCCTTGTTGGTTGGTTCTTTAAGGTAGCCGCAAGGAAACCGTTACCATTTTTTGGCTCCTCTATTTTGAGACATGGCCAAATCTTTTTGGAAACACATAAGGGGACTTGGGAGCGGCCCGGATCTGGAGCTGAGGCGTGTATCATCATGCGGACGGTTCCAGGCACCCGCCTTTCCCGGGTTTCTGTCTTTGGGCTTTGTGTTGTGAGGTATGTCGGTGAGTGGAAAAACGACCAGAAAGAGGGGCAAGCAGTGGAAGAGTGGGCCGGGAGCTCGTTCAGTTTTGTGTGGGTTCGGAAGTGCGTGTCATGAGACAAGGCAGACAACTCTCGGTTTGAGGGGCAGCGCGAGCCTTACGATGCAATTGCGACGTGGTTTTTATTCTATTGGGTTTGTGCTCTTCACTTGGACTTTGAGTATAATTGCCGAAGCGATCATTCTTTTTTTCTTCATAAAACATGCACAGGCCGGGCACAGTAAGGTTGACGTATAGGTGTGGTTCTCTCACTAAGCTCGCCTTTTCTTGCATAGAATGGCTGAAGTGGTTGAGATGTACCGTGCACCCGCAGAGGTACTGTGCTGGCAAGAAGCATGGCAAAGGCACCTTCTCCTGGCCGGAGGGCTCCTCGTGCGCCGGAGAGCCAGTGCCAGGGGCGCGTGCCAAAAAGAAACAAACACACACACACACACAAGTGTGATGTGAATCAGATACGGTGAATCCGAATCAGAACTTCATCTTTGCCCTGGTTCTCATAGCAACTGGCAAATTGCTGGTCGTCCATTGTTAGTTTGGGGAGGAGTAGAAGGGGCGGTAGGCCCCACATTTCAAGCACAAAAACTAGCCCCCCACCACTCTCCCAATGTCTTCTGGGGGAAACGAGTAGGTTTGTCATGGGCTCACATTCTTCGCCCGCACAGCCTTGGGATTAAAAATCGTTTGGCGAGCCGGCCATTATTACAGGTTCTCTGACAGCGCTAGCAGGGAACATCAGCAAGCCCTCGACTTGAGGCTTTGCGAACTTTTCTCAGTACTTATCTTTTTCATGGAAGTTGGAATCTTGAAAATATTGCAATCCATCCTTGGGCTAACTGCAGGTGTTCCGTGTTCTCGGCAATTGAACACCTCCAACAGACGCAGAGGATGGGTGTTGACCGGTGGATCCTTGTTGTTCACTCAGTGTTCCATGACAAATCAGCCTCAGCGCAACAGCTTTTGTAGGTACGAGGGCGAGTTCCAGAACAACGAGATTCACGGGCACGGCTCGTGCGCTGGCTGATCCTATGTGCATGACCCTGCTTGAGGCAGAAATGGTATTGCCAGACGACCTAGTTTATAGAGTATGCAGATGGATTGAAGATGCTAAAACTGTTGAAGGTGGGAGAGCCAAGAATCCTTTTCTGTTTTGGCGGCACATGAAGCTTTGACAACATGCCCGTGCCATATGTAGTTAGTATAGGGCGGTGGTGTTCATAGTGTCGAGATAGTATTGAATTAACTTATCGATGTATGTAATGTTGATGTATGTATTGTTAGTGTTAGTATTCATTTTCATGTTCATGTATGTATGTACGTACGTATGTATGTATGTAGGTATGCATGTATGTATGTAATGTATGTATGTATGTATGTAATGTAATGCAATGTACTGTACTGTAATGTAATGTAATGTAATGTAACGTAATGTAATGTAATGTAATGTATGCATGCATGTCATGTATGTTTCTATATAGGTACATACGTACGTTTGCACGTATGTATGCCTGCTTGCATGTATGCAATGTAATGTAATGTCATGTAATGTAATGTTATATAATGTGATGCGCTGTGATGTAATGCATGTATGGATGTCAATGCAATGTAATTCAGTGCAATGTAGTGTAATGTATTGTAATGCAATGCAACGTAATGTATTGTAATGCAATGCACTGTAACGTAGTGCAACGCAATGTAATGTATGTCGTATGTATTAATGTAATGTGGTGTAGTGTAGTGTAGTGTAATGCAATGCAATGTAATGCAATGTAATGCAATGTAATGCAATGTAATGCAATGTAATGCATTGTATGTATGTATGTATGTATGTATGTATGTATGTATGTAATGTCTGTCTGTGTGAATGTATGTAATGTAATGTAATGTAATGTAATGTAGTGTAATGTAATGTAGTGTAATGTAATGTAACGTAATGTAATGTAATGTATGTATGTATGCATGCATGTATGTATGTATGTATGCATGCAATGTATGTATGTATGTATGTATGTAATGTATGTATGTAATGTAATGTAATGTAATGTAATGTAATGTAATGTAATGTAATGTAATGTAATGTAATGTAATGTAATGTAATGTAATGTAATGTAATGTAATGTATGTATGTATGTATGTATGTAATGTATGTATGTAATGTAATGTAATGTAATGTAATGTAATGTATGTATGTATGTATGTATGTATGTATGTATGTAATGTATGTAATGTAATGTAATGTAATGTAATGTAATGTAATGTAATGTAATGTAATGTAATGTAATGTAATGTAATGTAATGTAATGTAATGTAATGTAATGTATGTATGTATGTAATGTAATGTAATGTAATGTAATGTAATGTAATGTAATGTAATGTAATGTAATGTAATGTAATGTAATGTAATGTAATGTAATGTAATGTAATGTAATGTAATGTAATGTAATGTAATGTAATGTAATGTAATGTAATGTAATGTAATGTAATGTAATGTAATGTAATGTAATGTAATGTAATGTAATGTAATGTAATGTAATGTAATGTAATGTAATGTAATGTATGTATGTATGTAATGTATGTATGTATGTATGTATGTATGTATGTAATGTATGTATGTATGTATGTATGTATGTATGTATGTATGTATGTATGTATGTATGTATGTATGTATGTATGTATGTATGTATGTATGTATGTATGTATGTATGTATGTATGTATGTATGTATGTATGTATGTATGTATGTATGTATGTATGTATGTAATGTATGTATGTATGTATGTATGTATGTATGTATGTATGTATGTATGTATGTATGTATGTATGTATGTATGTATGTATGTTATGTTATGTTATGTTATGTTATGTTATGTTATGTTATGTTATGTTATGTATGTATGTATGTATGTATGTATGTATGTATGTATGTATGTATGTATGTAATGTATGTATGTATGTATGTATGTACGTATGTATGTATGTATGTAATGTATGTATGCATGTATGTATGTATGTATGTAATGTCATGTCATGTAATGCAATGTATGTAATGTATGTAATGTATGTATGTATGTATGTATGTATGTATGGTAATGTAATGTAATGTAATGTAATGTAATGTAATGTAATGTAACGTAACGTAACGTAACGAAACGTAATGTAATGTAATGTAATGTAATGTAATGTAATGTAATGTTAGGTGTGTATGCATGTATGCATGTATGTGTCTATGTCCGTGTCAGGAGGTTGGGGTTGCTCTCACCAGGACAGCTGTTTCGGAACCTGAAAACTCTTGGCAGCGTCGGTATGTTTACAAGGTAGGACGATCGCAACTGCCTGTCTTGTTTTTGGGACACAACACTCAGGACAAGGATGTTCAGCACGTTTGTTGTTCCTAGGCTGATTTGGCACATTTGGCAGGCAATATGCAGAAAGTACCGGGGTCATTTGCAGAATGGTAAATTCGAAACAGCTCCAGCCCTGAACTACCACCCTAAACCCTAATGTTAGGTATCCTGAAACCTAAACTCAGTTGCAGGTGACCCTGAACACATCCCGAACTGGAACGCTGGCTCTTGGAGCCGAAATAGATCCAAATAGCCATGCAGGGTGAGTCACTATTCGTACATGATATATGTATATATATATATATGATTTCTGCGTATGTGTAGGAAAACATTTTGTATACGCATACATACACACATACACACCAACCTACTGCCCTCCTGCCGAGAGACGGACAGACAGACAGACCGACCGACCGACAGACAGACAGACAGACAGGCAGGCAGGCAGGCAGGCAGACAGACAGACACATTCATAGATACACATATATATATATGCTATATATATATATAGAGAGACAAAGATACATAGATACATCGATACATCGATGCATAGATGCATAGATTCATAGATGCATAGATTCATAGATTCGTAGATGCATAGATGCGTAGATACATATACATTGACATATGTCTACTTATATATGTATATGCGTATGTAGCGCCGCCAATCCAACTACTCCAATATCCCGATCCCTGCACGTGTGTAACTGCTCAGTTTTTGGCGGCAGGCAGGTGGAGACGGGAGCAAGACTTCCATGTCACATTGCAGCCTGACAAGGTACTTCTGGAATGATGGCCGTGTTTATTGTGGCCAATGGGCCAACAACAGGACTCACAGATGCCGATTTGAAGAGGGGGCGGTTGATTTCTTGGCAGGATGAGCGGAACCGGGACATTTACATGGAGAGACGGCAGAAGGCGCCCTGACCAATGCAAAGGCAAGGCAGAGTGGCTCGCACGCCGAAGGTATGTTGGCAACTACTTGAATGACAAGAAGGCTGGATGGCAATGATTGCAAACAGACGGACGCATGCCCTTAGTACTCCAAGTGGACCCCGCTTGCCGTAACTTTGCCATAGTGTTGGGGTGTGTGGTTGGTTTACTTGCAATATGTCAGGGGCATTTGGACAGACATTTCGCCTTAGGATGGGCACGGTGTCTTCACCTGGCCAGATGGAAGAGAATACGTGGGTGACTGGAAGGCACGTGACGTGTATTCCAAATGAATGAAGGGCGTGCCTTTTGCACGCTTTGCCTCCGTGTGCGTTTGCGCATGAAAGTGATTGATGCAATTGAGAATCAGCACACCCCGCGCGTCAGTTTTTGCGCCAGTTACGAAGGGGAAGTTGGTTCCAAGACGTTTTCCATCAACTTCCATGGAGCCAGCGGGTCCTCAGAGGTCATTCATGTTGTGCAGGATGGGAAGCAGCACGGCATCGGCGTCTTCAAGACAGCCAAGGGCGATTTCCGGAGGGGCGAGTGGAAGGAGAGAGCGGCTTGCACGAAACAGTTGGCACATTCGTTGTGTCAGAACGTCTTCTACGAAAGTGGGGTTCTTTTTATTCGAGAGAAGAAGCCTTTGCTGGATATGTGGAAGTCTGGTGGGTGACCCAACCTTGGTGAGCCATGGACTACATAGGTTACGTGGAACTTGCAGATGCCTTGCAGGACGGCACCCGGATCCGCTGGATTTCAGAGGCGGTGGTTCGGATCGCGCGTCCGAAGGCGATGGATTTGAGCACATGTGAAGGCCTATCGGGAGGATGGCAAGCAACCTGGATCTCCCCGAGAGGACCGTTTCTTGTTTGCTTTTTGCGTTTCCTACGAAGGCATAGCTAGCCTTGACCAAGTGAGCCGCTGTCGACATCATGGCTGTTCACATTCAGACGATCGAAACAGGCCATGTCATGTGTGTTGCAAGTCTTGGAAGTCAGAGCCTAAGCGGGCTCGAATCAACAGGTTCCAGCTTGCACCAAAGACTCATGTGTGTAGCATCTGAGATCCGATTTGTTCGAACCCATGTGAATCCTTGGCCTTAGGAGCAAAAGCCCAGCAACAATGCGATACCTACTCCGGCCGTGCCGGCCGTGCCGGCCGTGCCGGCGTAGCATTTCGTTTTTCGATGCTGAGATTGCATCCGGACCCTGGGTGCCAAGACGCTCACGGCTCACTTTCCGACAAAAAGGAAGGCTTGGGATGCCCAAAGCACGCATCCAGCCATGCCACGGAGACTGTTTGTTCGAGCTCTAGCGAAACAGGGGTTCTAGAAACAGGTTCTAGCTTCATACTGTGCGTAACACCCTAGAACCCATTTGCTAGAACCCATGTAGAGTCACTTTGGTTCCACTGCGGAAGACTGTGACGGCGCGCAGCACTTGCAGCGGCCCGCAAGGTTTCACTCCTGGCAACTTGTTCACTGACATCAGTTGCACCTCGCTCGCTTAGCGGCAGAAATGGAATTTGCTTTCCCCTTGGTGTAGATCACAGGTGTTGTTTTGGGTCAGTCCATAGCGGACATGCAGCTTGCCGGGGTGGCCCTGAGCATGACGCCAGAGAACGTTGGCGGCGCGGCGAAGACGCGTGTGAAAGAGGCTTGAGCAGTTTTTGCTTTTTCATTTGATACCCTCCTCCCATCCTGCAACCCTTAGTTGGTGGTTTGGATTGTTCCCCCGATTCTTCTCGGGGGTAACTCCTTAACTAAACCACCAAATCATCAGGCTCAAAACCACCATTCCAAGAATGATGGAAGTGGACTGGCTTCTCTGATCGTTGAGGGTAACCACTTGTAAAAAGATATGGCGGCATTCGGTGCATGCTGGCCTCGCATCACACTGTTCCTGTCCACTCCGCAGCTGTGAGAATGCCAAAGGCACACAAGTGCGCAGGACAAATCATGTATTTGTCAAGGTTCTTTTGCTTGCAGGGAGTTGAGTTTGGTCATTCAAGTTTTCGTTTGTAGCAGAGAGGCACATTGAGACAGGAGCATCAACCATAATTCGATCTGTTTGCAATGGCAGCCGAGCCCATCAACTTGGTGGTTTCGTTCTTATGCTTCGGGAGCAGGGTCCATTTGCTGCCTTTGTTTGGGGGCATAGGGGGTGCGTCTTGTATTCAGGGTACCCCCCCAAATGGCAACGATTTCCTTTTGGCTTCCATTTACACTCAACCAAAAGAGGGTTCCCCAAAAAGGACGTGCCACCCATGCCTCCACGAGTGGAAAAGGCCAGCTTGTTGAGTGTAAAGCGACACTCAGGTACGCAACACTTTCATTGATGCCGTTCCTGCGCAGATCTCAGGATCAGTTGAGGAGACACATGAGCGACTGACTTCTTTTTTCAGTCATCTATTGTTGGTTTGGGGAGGGAATAGGGAATGCCGAGTCTTCCTACTTGGGGACAAGCCAGTGTGAGGCTGTCTCAAACAAGGCTTTGAAGTCGCCGCAAACAGCCTTCGGTCCCTGAGCTGAACATATCTTTGAGAGTTGCAACGAGGGCATGGGACTTGTGGTTTATGCCAGGATTCATTTGCGACTCATGGGGCTTCATTCGTCCCAACTGGTGCGAAGTGGCTTTTGTCCCTCAGCGAGAGGCCCGATATTGTTTTAGGTTGTATGAGTGGTGGATGCCTGAAATAGACTTGGAACACAATGCCGATGCTTCGCGCACCTCAATTTGGCAGGTCGATCGTCTGTATATGTAAGCGTAGCAGCTCATGGCCCCATGGCCTCATTGTGAATAAGGACATGGACGAACAGTGCAATGGTGACAGCCCACTACACAGGACAGCCGCTTGCCATGCCGGGTTACTCATAATAGGTCGCTGGGGGTTGCTCACCGAAACTCCATGCCCACAATGAACGTTGCCTGTGGCTTGGAATCTCCAAGTAGCTAACCTCAGCGGCTGTCGCGTGCCCCTGAGGTTCACCCGCCTCCAAACTATATTCATCCATTATATAAATAAATAGATGTAAATAAGTATATATATATATATATAGATGTATGTTTGTATGGCTGCTTGCAGCCAGGCAGCCAATGCTCGTGAATGGGGCACCGAACAAATGGTGGGACGCTGCTGCTCTTTTGCATGGTGCTCACTTCAGGACACAATCTGATCCTACAGGTGGGCGAGCCAGACAGGTCCTCAACCTAGATAGGACTGAGCTGCTTGTGAAGTGACTTTAGCATTTTGCTCAATGCCCATATTTGGTGATTCGTGATTTGATCCGACCTCCATGCATTGCCTGTCAGCGAGAAGGGTTCACTCAACATCCGTCAACTTCGCTGCAACTAGCGCGAGGATACTCCCGCGGGGCATCCAGGAGATTCTCCAAGAGGTGCAGAAACCATGGGTGGAGTTGGTACCTTTGTTTGGTTTCGAGGGAAAGCCAAAAAGAGAATCGCCATTTCTTGGGCCCCGAACAAAGACACACCCGTATATGTTTGGGTTGGATGGCAAGCAATGTGTGCCATGGTCGTTGTGACCTGGGGGTTGATCAATATTCCTGGCCCCCAAGTGACCATGAGCAGCTTTTCTCCATTTAGTGGGACATACTATCTTTTTGTGGTTTTCCAGCCACTGGTCATCCCACGTTCATCAGACCTTTTGATCAACCCTCATTTTGAGACAAACCACTTAAAACTCTCCGCAGTGGATGGACGAAATCCTGCACCACTTAAGAAACCCTGGAATGTGATTTCCCTGTAAATACCAATATGCAGGTGGGAACGGATTTTGTCCACCCACAGTAGGGCGTTTTCCAAGTGCTCTGTAGGAGGAAGAGGAGGACGAGCTTCCTCGAGCGAAGGCCTCACATTGTTGCAAGAACTAAGGCCTAGTCCGTGTTAAAGGGAAAGCAAGAGGAACCCCTTTGCTGGGTGGTTCCCAGCAATTTGGTTCCTTTGGTTTTTAGTTGGTTTAGTGGTTGGGTTTCCATTTAAGCCACTAAAATGACGGGACACCACCACCCAAGTTCTTCTGACTTTGCCCAGAAACAGTCAAAATAACGATCCCGGTAGGGAGCCACCAACCTGGGGGTTTCGTCCCATGTTTGAAGATCACGTCGGACTCGTGTTCTGGAGCCAAGGCCGGCTCGGACCTCGGAAAGCTGGTGGAGGAAGAGGCTGGCCGGGGCGGAAAACCGAATGCGGGAGGGGTACCTCTATCCGAGAAAACATAGTAGAAAAGATACACCCAGAAAAGAGACACTACCGGGCAAAATGAATATATGAGAAGAGAAAAGGATACTCTGTCTGAAAAGCACTTCTGTAATTGCGGAAAACACGATACTTGACAAGACCAAAAGCACACCAATTCACAGAAACGTCCAAACTGCTTAAACTTGATAGAACAACATGAGCAACTCGAACAAAATAGACCCGGACAACCACCTGCCACGCTTGTGTAGGGGTCTTCAGCATAGGAGCAATGCACGCAGCCTCGAACAAGCTTTGAGAATACATGCCCAGAGACGATTCTTAACCAACACATGCGAGTATGCAACCTAGTTTCACCACCGTTTCTAAATCACCTTGCTTGATCTTATTGCTGTGTGTCAGTGCACGTTTCCGCATGCACATCGCACTTTAGCAAGTCCAGCTGCAGGGCGTTGCCCTTACAAGCCTGCAAAACTCCCCGTAGAGGAAGTCATGGCTATCCGATTCGCTTGACATTGTCCGATTAGTTTTGTTATTGTTGGCTGGCTCGATTGCAGCCCTTGTGGTGCTAAAAGGCATGCGCTCAGAATTCAGCAGTACACAATGTGAGTGTTGTTCTTCAGCAGTTCGGGATATGAAGCATCGCAACGACTTTGCGGTCTGAGCTCGAAATGTCATTTGCAAACAGTGTTCAGCAGCACTTGTCGAACATGCAAAATTTTGCAAAGCGAGCCTTTTCGATCGTGGCATTCGTCAATGAAGAGTCCGACTTATGCCTTTCTTAACAGTTGCGTCAACGATGTTTTGTCTTCGGCGCCGCAATGCAACCGCTCAAGCCAAGCAAGCGTCATTCAATGGGCCATTTCATTTTGAGGATTAAGTGTGCACACATTTTGATATGCGCAAAGTTGGTATGCACAGAACACGACTTCAGGCTAGCTTTCTTTCAACACATCGATTCGCGTGCGGCATTTGTTGTGTCATTTGCTCGCAGTGCATAGACGGGGCCCACAGGGCAGAACAAAACTTGAAGCCGGCAAAGACGACTTGAAGCACGGTAGAATAAAAACAAAGAACACAAACGGCTTCTGGGCCATGATTTGAACTTTGGAGCTGCAGCGACCGACTCAGTCAGTAGGTTGATTTGTTTGAATCTTAAGATTCAGTTTCGTCCAATCACGTTGCTTTTTGCAAGGCTTCTCATAGGAGAGTGTAGGAGTTTGGTACAGGCGCTGGAGGACCCTTTCGCCGGGACGTACCATGGCACAGCTTCCGTTAGGATGATGAGCCGCTAGCGCGGACAAAGAGCATGGCACCTGCTGGCAACTCAGTTGGGTGGACTACCTTGCCATCCCCCCTCGCCCCCCCTTCCCCCTCACCCCGCCCCCGCCCCAAAAAAACAACGACAACAACAACAACAACAACAACAACAACAACAACAACAACAACAACAACAACAACAACAACAACAACAACAACAACAACAACAACAACAACAACAACAACAACAACAACAACAACAACGACGACAACAACAACAACAACAACAACAACAACAACAACAACAACAACAACAACAACAACAACAACAACAACAACAACAACAACAACAACAACAACAACAACAACAACAACAACAACAACAACAACAACAACAACAACAACAACAACAACAACAACAACAACAACAACAACAACAACAACAACAACAACAACAACAACAACAACAACAACAACAACAAACAACAACAACAACAACAACAACAACAACAACAACAACAACAACAACAACAACAACAACAACAACAACAACAACAACAACAACAACAACAACAACAACAACAACAACAACAACAACAACAACAACAACAACAACAACAACAACAACAACAACAACAACAACAACAACAACAACAACAACAACAACAACAACAACAACAACAACAACAACAACAACAAACAACAACAACAACAACAAGGTTCACCGGGGGGGGTTTGCCCGGGAAAACAATGCGAAACGGCCGGGGAGGGTTTGCCCGAAGAACAATGTCACCGATCAAGTCATCAACACTGCGTGGTTCCCAAGACGTGTTGCTTGGCCACCAAAACCTCTTTGCACAC